AAACCTGAGAACAGCAGGAACAGATACCACACACGATCTTAGAATTTGCCATTCCTAGCCAACCACACATGTAAAGGATTTGATGGAGAAGTGACTAAGGTTTAGTTTCACAATCCATATAAAGTATCCCTTTTATGTGGAGGGGCTGAGCTGGAGCCCTGAAGAAACCAAAGGAAGGAAAAAAGGGGTGGAAAGAGACGAGACAAACCCCTTGAGGCAGGGACTCTCTCTTTACTGTATTTGTAGAGTGCCTAGAAGGATACAGTCCTGGTCCGTTAATAGGGCTCTTAGGGACTACAGTAATATGAATACTAATAATGCAAAAGAAATAACTAATTACTCTACTGTCCTTTTCAACAGGATAGTCACATGCAATTCGCAAACAATAAAACTGAATTACAAAGAAGATAAGGGCATTAATCAGCACTACTTACAATAAGCTTCGTGTTTATTTACACACAGTGCATTTAACTTTCAAATGTAATGTTCCTACAAAGACTATGAACAGTGTTGTATTATGTATTTCAAAGACAGTCCTTCACAACAGATAAAAAATTAGCTTAGGTCAGTTTTTACCCTACAAAAAATTCAGCCATTACATTAATTGGCAACAAAAGTCTCAAATGATTTGAGGTGATACAATCAGGCACAATGGCTCAGAGAGGTTCAAAGTGATAGCTGTAAGACAGACTGACGCATTTTTAATTCACGAAAAATTGTATCGTGCTTCAAGGAGCTGGGCTAAGATGTCTTCCACATTAAAGAGGGCGAAAAATCAGACGAAAGCAATAAAAAGAGCCTAAATTATGCTCTTATTCCTGTAGCTACAAGACTTTAAACTAGCTGTATGTTGACACTATACACTAAGCTTGTGTACGGAAATTATTATTCCAGTTACATTATATGCCTGTGACTGGGTAAAAGTAAAAAATGATATAGCATTATCTGGGATTTGGAAGTATCAAAAATGTTTTTCAAAGTCTGCTACCATTAAGTGTTATTACTATAAACTAAGGTTATAAAATCTATTTTGACAAACTAGTCGTGATGGGAGTCTTAGAAAAGTATTTTAATATTCTGATCACTGTGTGGTGTATTCTAAGTTTCAAAAATGAAGACAAAATAGATTTTTGTACTCAGCTCTACAATACCAAAAACCATATGATTTTATACCACTGAAAAGGATCACACAAGACAAAAATGACCAAATCGTATTATACCAGAAAGTACATCATACTCAACTTGAAATGAAATACTCCATAAATATAGAAAACATCTGTTTCAGATATTTCAGAATTTGGTATGATGATAATTATTTCTTGAAACAGAGTTAAAGGAGGAATTATAGAAGTTAAGAAAGCTTATGTAATGTATTAGTTATGCTTTAACACAAGTTTGCATTACCTAATTTCCCTAGGTCAGAAAAAGGGAATACCGGACATAACAGAACTCTAACAACATGTACTGCTGCACAGGTAACTTGTGAGAGACTCACAATTTGAGATATTAGTGAATGTTTTTATAATCAAATATTTATCCAATTATTTTTGCTTAAGCAATAAAAATATTTTACTGGTGGTATAATGACTAATAGCAGTGGTGTTTTTGTAAGCTATATCAAGAAGCATTTAGTGCTGAATCATCAGGCAAACAATATACAAAGAATTATTTTTAATATAGTTAACATCTATATCAAATTTCAATCAAACTGTAGGACAGTCTGGAATTACTTTTCAGATAAAAATAGAATGTCCTCTATGAAACATTTTCAGACTCTCTTAGAACTCAGGGCATTTAACTTAAATAGACTATCCATGTCACCTCATTTAGTTGAACTTCTCCAATCTGGGACTCTGGTACTACAGGACTACAGATGTTGCTGGATCAGAGAGCCCTATCAGCTGGGAACAGGGGCTGGCATCTGGGAGCCTGGGTATGGCCTGGGGCTAGAGGCACCCCAGAAGAGCTTGGCAACAGACCTCCCCTTGTCCAGCAAACTCCCCGACTGAGAACCGGTCAGGTCTCAAGGGTGTTGGATCAGGGAGGTCCAATCATATTATCATAATATAAGGACAGTGTGTGCCCAAATAACTATCCACATTTTGACATTGGTGACATTTTGATTTTTCCATTATATTTGTTCTTCAAATTTATCAGAACAAGGTTATGGTACACGGTTCTTTTTCTACTATAGCAGTTACAAGAGAATTTCAACAAAGGTCACTTGAAGTTATTGAAGAGATAAAGACTCAAGTATTTAGAAAACTAGGATTTGGGAGGACCTCTCTCCCCGTGAGAGGGTTTGGTTTGAGACATTTAGAAGTAATGTATTATTCATTTTTAGTGACCACATTTATCCAATTCAGTATTTATATTGTATAGATCCCCCACCATCCTCATGGCAAACTGAATGTATACATTTGCTACTATAACAAATACAGGCAGTCCCCGGGTTACATGGATCCGACTTACATCGGATCCCTACTTACAAACGGGGTGAGGCAACCCCGCACTAGCTGCTTCCCCCCAGCAGACCAGGGAGACGTGAAGCTAGCGCCCCCACTCCCCGCCCAGCAAACCAGGGAGACACGGAGCGGCTTTTCTCAGCAGACACCTCAGCTTGAGAATAAAGGACTGAGGGAAGTGAGGTGTGGGAGAATAAAACTGAGCTCTGGAGAAATGTTTGGCTAGAGTTTCCCCTACAATATGTACCGGTTCCGACTTACATACAAATTCAACTTAAGAACAAACCTACAGTCCCTATCTTGTACATAACCCGGGGACTGCCTGTAGTAGGAAGTGTTCTTCCTTATTGCCTTTTCTAAACAAGCCTATCTTCTCAGTCCATCTAACCAGTTAATGTAACAATTGCAATAACCTGTTTCTCTCTCTAACTGGAAATATTATCAGAGGGATAGCCGAGTTAGTCTGTAACAGGAAAAACTTAACAAATAGTGTGGTAGCACTTTAAAGACTAACAAAACATGTAGATGGTATTATGAGTTTTCGTGGGCACAGCCCCTTTCTTCAGAAGACCAGCTGTGCTCACAAAAGCTCACAATATCACCTACATGTTTTGAAGCAAAATACAGGACTATGTAGCACTTTAAAGACTAACAAGATGGTTTATTAGATGATGAGCTTTCGTGGGCCAGACCCACTTCCTCAGATCAAGTAGTGGAAGAAAATAGTCACAACCATATATACCAAAGGATACAATTAAAAAAATGAACACATATGAAAAGGACAAGTCACATTTCAGAACAGGAGGGGATGCGGGGGGGAGGGGGGAGGATAAAGTCTTTAAAGTGCTACATAGTCCTGTATTTTGCTTCAGCTACACCAGACTAACACGGCGACATTTCTATTACTAACCTACATGTTTTGTTATTCTTTAAAGTGCTACCACACTATTTGTTGTTTTTAAAGATTTTCCTGGAAATATTATATTTGATAAAACCTATTTGATAACTTTATGGCTTCCAAATGTACACCAAGTATGAGGAAGACAGCATAACAAAAATTGTGAACACCTCCCTACCCAACATGACCTACACCAGTAGTTTTCAACCACGAGTCTGGGGCCTGCAAGTTGGTTTCAGGGAAACCATTAAGCAGGGCCAACATTACATTCACGGAGGCCCAAGAAAGTAAAAGCCTCAACAAAGCGGGTCGAATCCCAGACCCCACGCCCTACTACCCGGGGCTGAACCCTGAACAACTAAGCTTCATGGGACAATCTGTGGCATGGAGCCCCATGCAACTGCTCTGCTTGCTACCCCATAACACTGGCCCTGGATTTTATATGCAGAAAAAACAGTTGTTGCCGCACTGGTGGGCCATGGAGTTTTTAACAGTACGTTGGAGGTGTGGGGGTACTCAAAAAAAAGGTTAAGAATCCCTGATCTACATGTGAGCAATTCCCTTCATTAACCAATATAAGCCATCCCTTTAATCAGCAGAACTTTTAAAGACTTGAGGAAAATGGACAATCATGCATTATTCTGAAGTCTATTCTGAAGTCTTCCAAGATGAAATCTAGGATTGGGGATGTTAAAGCATAAATGTGTACATGGTTAATTGAGAAGCCAGGGCTCAGAGTTACACACAGCCACCTGGGCTCGCAGAAAGCTAGCACATACCAGCTCCTGCAAAGCTGCCTCTCCCCACCCTTCCCTGTACTGCTGCCTCTGTATCAGAGGCAGCAGCACCAGAGTCGGTAGGAGCAGTGAGCAGCCTCCCCCCTCATTCACCCTGCTGCCTCTGTCTGGATAGCAGTCCCTCCTCTCCCTCCGGTGTGTAAACGTGTAACTGCTGGAACTTTCAGCAGTCACATATTCACCAAAATAAACACATTAACATCCCTAAGACAACATTTTTATTTACAAGACTGAAAGAGAAAGTTCCTTATTAATAACACTGTTTTTCTGCACATATGAAGGGTTGTAGTAAAATCCAGGTAAGACTTATTCACTAGCTTTTTATCAAAATGCAGTGGAATTTGTGTGTCAAGATTTAGACGTCATAAAGAAAGCTGCTATCCACTACTGTAATTGAATCCTTTTATTACTCTCACATGACCTCATTTTACATCCATCATT